GTGGTTGCCATAGGGAATATCGGAAAGAAGTAGTACCTTAATCTGCTACAAAATAAGGAACTACGGCTACAAAATATTTGCTACAAGATATATGTATTGGCTACTAACTACCTCCTGGGACATAGTATGCACTACCTCCAATAATGATACTAACATTATATTTCTTCAATTATTTGGTACAATTTCAAGAATCTTGTTTAGTCACTTTTGTTTTTTAGATAATTACTCCAAAAATATTATTTTTAAGTTTTCTAGTTAAGTTTAATGGTGGTTAATAGCATGCTTTTTACATACGTGCTTTAATTTTGGTGAGAAGGTGAAGATAATGATTATGGAAGTATCAACTAGGTATAATCTCTTATATAGGAATAAGTAGTTGATATATTCTACCAACAATTGCAGTTATCTTATACAATAAATGTGTTAATTATTTCATCTTTGTCTTAGTTTTGCATCTTTAATCTTATGACTTTACTTCTCAATTATTAGGGATTAGATTCCATATTATGCCTATTTGATTACTGAAATGTCACAATTTTCTCCCCTTACCAGAAACATATGCATACTAAAGATTTCTTTCTATTAAAATGTTGAATTCCAAGCGAATAATGTACTTCTTTTGTAGATTTTATACCTCAAGTTGCTAAAATTTTGTTCCAGACATTCCATCAAGCTAAAGTACAATTATTTCTAATAACGTAACAGTAGAAGTGCATGTTATTCCCAGCCATGAAAATGGTATTTTCTCTCTATTTTTTTTTTCCTTGGCAAACTAGAAGGAGAAAGGACTCGAACACAGGAAGCTGGCCACTCTATCAATTAGGCCACTGGGTGATACTCTTTTCTCTATAGAATGAACAAGTTGACTGAAAAATAATTTAGGATAAGTAGATTATTTTTGATTAATTAATCTCATTTTGTTGGATTTGTCTTACTAATAATGGTGTATATGCAAAATTTCATTTTGTACCATATGTGGATGATGTTTCTTTGTGTATGTTGAGAATTAACAATGTAGGACAAAGGGCTAGCTATGTCATTAAATTTGTTTGCTAGAAGGCATGGACTTTGGTATTGATCATCCCAATCTTTTATAAAAGTTTAAGTCTTTGCTTGGACTTTTTAAGTTAAGATGTAGGTTAAATTAGGCTAGAACACAACAATTTTGAACTGTCTATTATTTGGTAGCAGAGAAAATAAGGAAAGAAGAAAAACTTTAAGATTAACAAGTTTCTATAAAGGAGTAGAATTGTTACAAGATTCCATGTTTCCTAATTTCTTCTTGTTTTCCCAATTTCTTGGCAACCAAACATAGGATAAAGTATAAGGACTTAGGAAAAGATTGGTTGAATGGACTTGTATCCAAATTTTCAGATTTTCCAATAGTTATTAGGAAGCCTTTTTATGCATAATGTACAGTTTATTGCAAATTTCAATCACTTGTGAAAGTAGTACAGCAATTATTGAACCTTTTTTTACTATTTCGTTGTTATTATTGTATATATGTTTGAATATTGTTGATGTAGCAAGTCTCATGATTGTTTTTTCCTTTATACCTTATGTGGATACATAATTTGAAACTTTGAACTAGCATTTAGAGACATCGTAGAGCATTCCTTGGCAGATTATCCTGTTAATTTAAGTTTTTCATGCGTTTCACCTATCTTTTAGATTTGATATTCATTTGTTTACAGAAAAAGAAGTCAATGGTCCAAATTTAATCAACAATTAAAACTAAGAATCTACAGTCACACAGACACATTTTCTCAATCTTTTGCTCCAACAGTGAGAAGTTGCAAAGCATGACGCGCGTATTTTATTTTGACTAACAATTATGATAACAAGGCTCCAAATTTCCCATCCTCCAGAACTTCTTAAGAACTCAATTCATTTATGCGAACCGAGCTGAGTAATTGGTTTATTTGAGTGAGTCAAGTTTGATCACAACTGTTAAAAAATTAACCAAGCTCAAACTAAGCTCAGACACTGCTTCTAACCAGCCAAGCTGAGCATAAGCTCTATAAAGTTGGCTTGACTCAGCTTGTTTACAGCCTACGAAATGGCTGATCTCATACTTAAATATGTCTCCTTATAGTGGCCAGTTTAAGCTTTCACCATGTCACCTGACCCCTTTTTTTTTTTATCAAATATATATATATATATATATATATATATATATATATATATATATAAAGTAGCATTTTGAATACTAAAGAGTTGAACTATCACAAAAATATACTAGGCCATGTAGAAATTCCCACGTCTTGAAGAACCGGCTGGCTGGTGATTGTCCCTTCCACTTCCAAAACCTTTTCTCCTTTTGCTGATCGAAATGCAGAAAGGAGAGATGACCCTGATTGGGTCTTCAATTTTCTTATTGCCCTTTAAGAAAGACAAAAAAATTAATATTTAGAAGTTGGATTTGATGTGACCTTATTTATAAATTCATGATAGGATAAATTATTTAAGCTTGAAACTTGAACGGAGACTCAAGAAAACGTCATCAGAATATCTCCCATCAGTTAACTGGACTCATGTACACATATTTTTCTGAAAGTAACATGTATGTGTGAGATTTGTCAAACCACCAAATTACAAATTCTGAGTTTCAACAAGAGTATATCTAAAGAAAACAAGGGTTGAAGTAGTTTTTAGTTTAGCATACAGTTGCCAGTTTGAAGAGAGCCTTGCATTCCTATGCATGCTAACTCTATTTTCTTTCATTAATTCTTTCTTTATTTCTTTGTTTCTGATGCACACTTTCTTATTTCTTTACACTTAGAATAGCCTTCCTTAATTTATAATTATAGTAACATAAAAGCTAAAGCATATGGTTCCTATTTTGTAGCATAACTACTGCATAAGACTCAGCTTAAATGAAGACTGGACTTATAAATTTGAATATCTGTGTCATGTTCGATTTTCTATTAATAGTTAATAAGTTGGTGTATATGTCTTAAGATGACTGTTCGTGTTCATTCTAGCTTCTCGTGTTTATGGTTATCTTGTTCTGAGATTTGTAACTGTAATTCTTGTTTTGCAAACTAAATCCTATTTGGTGAAAAATTTTATGATCTTTTTTATATACTTTTTTTTTTTTTTTTTATGAATTTTAGTTATAAATATTTGTGAAGATAATGACTGAAACAGGATCTCCCTTTGCAGGATTTGAAAGACTAATTGGTAAATTTGGGTTGAACTTTAGTCTTGAACAAGCTGAAGGCCCTTATTGTGGATTATAATTTTTACAATTGCAGCACCCTACGGTCTTACCATATTTTAGAGTGCTTTCATCACTTCATACTGGTAAGTCATATCTTTAATTATTTAAATATATATATATATTTTTTATTCCAGTTTTTTTCATGCTAATAATAAATTGGATGTTAACCGCATGAAGCATAAATCTGTCAATTAAGACAGGCACCCAATTGTATATGAAACAAAGTACAATATAAAGTAACAAAATTTATTAATATATAAACAACAAAATTTTCATTTTTTTATTTTTTTATTTTCTTTTGTGTGTGTGTTTTTGTGTTTGAAGGTTGAAAGATTTGTGTAGTTATTCAGTTGTAGAAGCAACAAAAACACTTCCAGTGCTTCCCAAAAATAAAAATCATCATTATCATGGTGTTGTCATAAAACTTTATTTGAAAAAGGATAATTCTTAACTTATTTATTTGACTCGAGAAACTGATGTTATTAATATTTGTGGGCCAATTTGGGTGCTTAATTGGTAATTGATTGTGTGTTTGAATTTTGAATGTCCTAGATTTAAAGGGGGAAGCCACATAAACTTGCACTGAGAATGGCATAGACTTTATAAGTTGTAACCTTCCAGCACAAAATGAGTAGTTGGTAGTCCAAAACTCCTCAATTAAAGGATCACAGTGCTGTTTATTCAGTCTATTAGACAATAATAAAACTCCCAAATATCTAATTGGGAGGGTCCTAATAGAGAAATTAAGCTTTCTGAGAATTAGGTTTTGAGTAGCAGTCTCTATACCAGATCAGAATATGACACCTCTTTGCATTATTTGGAATCAAGCTAGAAATAGAAGTTAAAACTAAATTGAGCTATTGATTCTGTCAGTATTTTAACAGATTCAACATCCCAGCTGTGATTAACATAAGATCATCAACAAAAAGGTCCATTACTTATCCTCTGAGCTGAGCATTTCCAATGGTAATCAAAAACCCCTAGAGTTATTCTCTAATTAAAAATACGAGGTAGAACCTTCATTCCTATAACAAATGGTATGAGGACATTGGATCCTTCCTCCTTCCCTTATTAGGTAAACCATACGACCATTAACATCCAAGGAAAAGAACTTTTCAACAATTTCAATAAAAGAAATAAAAATAAAAACTGTAAGTGTTTTTTTTTTTTTTCCTTTTATCTATTCGATTGGGTTAAGTGATGCTTTATATATGCTTATTTTTGTGTGTTTTACCTATCATTAACGTGCTTAGTTGGATTAATTCCGAAGAATGTGTATTGAATTAATGAATTAGGAATATATGAGTACTCCCAAGTGCCTTTGTAAGCTAGCAGATTTGAGATTGAATCTTTTCAACATGTAATGTGTAGAAGTGCAAATTGGTAAATTTAAGTTGGACTGTTATGTCCATATATGTGCTCTATCCTTCCTTTTTGTATCTAATGTGCCTGTGTTGGTAATTTATTTGTAGATGTTGAATACCCGGTGTTCTCCAAATAAATTCAAGGAAACGGTTTGCAATTTAAGTGAAGACAAAAAGGTTGCCGTACAAGAGATTGGGTTTGGGTCCCTTTTAGACATCGAGTGTACCATTTTGAAGCGCAACCTGTGCTTATGGTTGGTAGAACACTTTGACCCTAGAACATCTCATCTCACCCTTGAATCTGGCGCTCGGATCCATGTTACGCCAAGTGACGTTGAAGAGGTACTTGGCCTACCCTCGGGAAGAGGAGAAGATGTGCCAAATTATATTGTACAAAGTGTACATTGGTTAGAAAATGGCATTTTTTTAAAGGACGGTGTAATAGAAGTGCCAAACTTAGTGCATCAATTAGACGTTCTTCCTGTTGGGGATGACTTCAAGAGGGCTTTTGTCCTTTTCGCTTGCGGATCACTTCTAGCACCCATATCGAAAAATGAGACAAGCAAAAGGTTATTGGCAGCGGTTGACAATGTGGATGCTATTAAATCATATAATTGGGGGAAGTTTGTTTTAGATTGGTTGAAAAAAGGAATTGCGTCCTATAAAGGAAAGGAAGGAAGAGAAGGTTGTACATACATACATGGATGCTTGTTCTTTCTCATGGTATGTTCTAAGATATAATATTTGTAATGTGTCTATCATTTTATTTTAAATAGCTATAATGTCATTATCATAATGGCTTATATGTTGTAGCTTTTCTACCTACACCGTGTGGATGTCAATGGACCAAAACCGAAGCCTGAGATGTCATGCGTACGTGGATGGACCAACAAATTAATAGGCGAGAGGTTGAATTTGGAGAAGCATAAATATAATGGTTTCGGCTTCGGTGAGGTAAAGTTTACAACTGATACATCTGAAGATGCCGATAAGGTAATCACGTCAATTATGGCTTTTTATAATTGGTACTAAATATACGGTTATATTTGCATATTCATAATTACTTGGAACTCTACGGTTACATTTATATATTAACTGATATATATATTTATTAAACTTGTTTAAAATTGTTAGGAGTTGGCATATGAAATTATTAAAGTTGTTAAGAAATGGAAGCAACGGCACAATGTAGGCCAAGGCAGGGGGTCGAGATCCTCAGAACCCAGTTCATCCACACGACAACCTAACCCATCTTCGCAATTGTTTGCACAACACAATCCGATTGAGGAGGAAGATGAATCCCACATACCAGTGGAGGAGGAATTCGAAACCTCCACAAGACAAGCAAACTCACCCTGGCAATCTTTTACAAAACACGATCCCATGGAGGAGGAAGGAGAAATCCCCGCACCAATGGAGGAGGAAGTGGGAACCTCCACAGCAATGGAAGAGGAGCGTGATGTGCAGGAAGCAGTGATCCCTTTATTACGTGTTATAAAGCCTGGGCGCCATAAGGGATCACCTTGGGTTGAAATGAAGGTCAACCGATTGCGTGTCCTTCGTCCAGAAGCAAAGGCAGTCATCTCATATGCCATGGATGAGAGCAGAAATGATGAGTGAGAAATTATATAAATAATTTCTTATTTGCTCTATATTTACTTACTTTCTATGCTCAAACACTTAATATGTTATTGTTTAATTATAGTGAAATGCTGGTGAACATAAATGATATTTTCCTCACAAGAAAAGAGATGAGAACAATCTCTTACAATCATTGGATATCAAATATGGTATGTTCACTTAAAGTTCATTGATTTTTCAAACCAATCACACGCATGCATTAATGGTTTAAATGTGATCATTGTAGGTGGTTGAAGTCTATTGCCAAATGCTCCAGCTGAAACAAAAGCGTAGAGGAACCAAATTTTTCTTTCCGCCTTCGATTGGGGTAACAAATTCTTCTATCTATAGTGAATGTTTGTTTGACACATATTAGGTTATCAATTGTGTGCATTTTCAGATTGAACTTTCCAAGATACCTTCAAAAGTGGTTGATAGGAAAGGTAAAATACAAGCAGTTTGGAACAACTATAAAAGGATAAGGAATGTCGATGATAACAAAGTTTGCCAATTCAATATGGTAATATTTATCGCTTGCAAACATAAATAATTATTATACTTTTATCAAAAAAATATGATTCTAAAAGTAATTAAATTTTTACATTGTTAAATATGCAGCTTTTCTTTCCAATACTTGTAAATGAGAAACATTGGTGCTTGTATGTCTTTAACATTTGCGATAGTCGTATGGATGTGTTGGATTCAAACAAACATTCTTCGCATGATAAGCGTACTCCAGACAAGATGTCAAAAGATTTGGTAAACGCTTATTACATATGAGCTCATTTTTTTGATTATGTATTCATTTACTGTTAAATTAAGACGGTAAAGTATACAAGTTGAAGAACGTGGTACTGAATTTTTTACTCTAATCATTTATATATTGTGCATTTGTAGGTAATGTTGGTTGAGGTATTCACCGGAAGAGATCTACAAAACTTCATATACAATGTGCCCAACGTACCTCAACAGCCCGATAGGTAATTTTATCACTTAATGTTCCTAGTTTGGTGTACTGATTATGTTCACAATTATAATTAACAGATACCTAAACAGTCTTTTATTCAGTGATAGTTGTGGTGCTTTCATGTTGGACTTCATGGAGAAATGGGATGGTTCACTCAGTCACCCAAAAGAGAAGGTGAAGCCCAATTCTATTTTTTACATGGGTCTTATTTATTTTTTTCCCCGAATGAAGAAATTACCGAATTACTAAATCACACAATCTCCTCGATACTCTTCGTTAATCATTTAATTCTCTGTTTTCTTCTAAACCATTGGTGCATTGTTAATCTAAGCACCCACTGGTCATTAGTCTTCAAAGGAAGAAATGGGTCTTGCCTTTAAAGGTTTCAAAAAATATATTTGTAAAACTGATCCACATTCCTACATACTTTTGTTCAAGGGTTGAAACTGGAGGGTCTTCAATTCCAATACATGCAAACATAATTTAAAAAATTAATGCAACCACAAAATGCATCCACTATAACGTTTTCCTTCCTCTTCACTGCACTCCCCATTCTGTTTTTACACGTTTTCCAGCTTATACCTTTCTTTTTTCTTTTTGCATCTTTTAAACCCATGTTTGTGTGCAAGTACTTCGCTTTCCGATCTCTCCCCGCTAGGCTGCAATGTCGTAGTGTCAATAGCGGGAAGACCAGGGGACTATGGCACGTGTTGAAACAAAGAGAGCGGTAAGCAACCCCTTTAGGCAACAAAATTTTCAACCTTAGAACCCCCTAATGCAGTATACCCTTAATGTGTGCCATTTTTTTGAAAGAGAAAGCATCCAGCTCTAGTGAGTTTTAATCTAACATGAAGTAAGCAACAGTACTCCCTTGTAATGAATGATATAGAAAATGTTTGACATCCACTGTATAATGGGTCCTATCGAGTAGAAACCAGCTTTGCTAGATGAGGTTTAAATGAATAGCATATTCTTAAATATTTTCAGACAGTTTTTCATTGTCAAAGAATTCAGTATGAGATCAGTAGCTTAAATCATTAGTCAACCTTGTTTTTCCTACATCACCTAACCAATTAGATACGCAAATACTGGACTCCTGTCATTTTAAATGAACATATTGCAGTTAATATGGTCACTTCACTGTACTTAGTGGTGCTCATTAAAAATGAACCGAACACAAAAGATACTGAAACTACGACATATTGAAATGAATGATTAAAAAATTTCAAAATAAATAGTCACTTTAAGATTACTTTTGGAATGTCAGAAAAAAGGTGTGTGCCATTGAGTGTTTGGAATCAGTAAAAAGGGATAACTATTTTGGGACAGGGAGATCTTTCGTATTATTAGATTTGTTTTGGTTTTGTTTATGTTCTGTCTCTGTGCTGATCTGACCAAATTGCTAACATATTTCCCAAGGATGAAGCTACCTGTTTATGCAATATTTCACATATAAAAGTTTAGTATCACCGAGATTTTGTGCATATGCCAAATTCAACATTGTTGAAAAAGTTTTCTTTATCAAATATATAGTTTCTGCAACACTAGATTCCTATCTATTTACACTTATATGTATTCACGCATGAAGTCCATTTCCCAATCCTATATTCATGATTTGTCTTTACCTGGTTTAATTTGCAGGTGGATGTTGATAGATTACGTGCAATTATTGCTTCAAATTTGCTTTCAGATGACAATAACACAATGAAGGATTTTGTAAAGAACAAAGCACTTTATCCATTTGGTCAAGCATGTTGATTTCAAGTAAGCTTCCATCAGCTTACTTGTGGTTAGTAATTTTATTTTTTATTTTTTATTTTTATGATTCTAACATCACCTCCATCAGCTAACAAGGTACCATTTACCTCAAGGAACCTCACATACCAGTATTTGCCCAGTTGGAAGCTAGAGGAAGTGGGATAGGACGATCGTTGAATTTTCTAAAAAGTGGTACCTGAAATGATGTGGGATATGGGACATTTGTATTGTTGAATAGTGTCATTTTTTTTTCATGTATTTTGCACTCTGTTGGTGTTAGCTATTTTTAAAGTTTTAAAGAATAGTAGCTTTGCAACTTTTGATTGTGGATTAGGTTGGTATATTTTTGCAACTATTGTATGGCTTATTATATTGGCATCTACCTTACATGAAATCAAATGAAGTTACTCTTTTGGGTTCTCAGGAATTAGTATTGTATGGCTTATTATATTAGGGTCTCAATGAAATTTCTTTCACTACTATATTAATGTACTAATTTCAAATTTGATGGAGTTTAAAACTGAAGCAGTTTATAATGAATGAAAAATTGGTTTGGATCTTCCTTGGTTCCATGGTGTCGATAAATGGATAGTTTAATGAATGAAAAATTGGTTTGGATCTTCCTTAGAGAAAACGTGGTACCTTGACGCCAAAAAGAAGTACCTTCAGTTCAAAAAACGTGGTCCCTTTGGGAAAAAAGTAGTACCTTTACAAAAGGTACCAATTTTTGCAATTGAATATGGTATTACACCTCACATCGCTAATTAAGTTGCACATTACATCCACAAACAGTTCCATTAGCGCCATGAATAAGTGTTTAGAGAAAACGTGGTACCTTGACGCCAAAAATGAGTACCTTCAGTTCAAAAACGTGGTACCTTTGGAAAAAAAGTGGTACCTTCGCAAAAGGAATTTATTTTTGCAGTTGAAAACGTGGTTTTATACCCCACACCGCTAATTAGGTTGCACATTACATCCATAAATAAGTGGTACCTTTAGTTCAATAACATGGTACCTTTGGAAAAAAAGTGGTACCTTTGCAAAAGAGATTTATTTTTGCAATTGAAAATGGTATTGCACCCCACACCGCTAATTTTCTTGCACATTACATCCACAAATAGCTCCATTAGCGCCATGAATAAGTGTTTAGAGAAAACGTGGTACCTTGACACCAAAAAGTGGTACCTTTAGTTCAATAACATGGTACCTTTGGAAAAAAAGTGGTACCTTTGCAAAAGAGATTTATTTTTGCAATTGAAAATGGTATTGCACCCCACACCGCTAATTTTCTTGCACATTACATCCACAAATAGCTCCATTAGCGCCATGAATAAGTGTTTAGAGAAAACGTGGTACCTTGACGCCAAAAAGTGGTACCTTTAGTTCAATAACATGGTACCTTTGGAAAAAAAGTGGTACCTTTGCAAAAGAGATTTATTTTTGCAATTGAAAATGGTATTGCACCCCACACCGCTAATTTTCTTGCACATTACATCCACAAATAGCTCCATTAGCGCCATGAATAAGTGTTTAGAGAAAACGTGGTACCTTGACGCCAAAAAGTGGTACCTTTAGTTCAATAACATGGTACCTTTGGAAAAAAAGTGGTACCTTTGCAAAAGAGATTTATTTTTGCAATTGAAAATGGTATTGCACCCCACACAGCTAATTTTCTTGCACATTACATCCACAAATAGCTCCATTAGCGCCATGAATAAGTGTTTAGAGAAAACGTGGTACCTTGACGCCAAAAAGTGGTACCTTTAGTTCAATAACATGGTACCTTTGAAAAAAAAGTGGTACCTTTGCAAAAGAGATTTATTTTTGCAATTGAAAATGGTATTACACCCCGCATTTCTAATTAAGTTGCACATTACATCCATAAATAGCTCCATTAGCGCCATGAATAAGTGTTTAGAGAAAACGTGGTACCTTGATGCCAAAAAGTGGTACCTTTAGTTCAATAACATGGTACCTTTGGAAAAAAAGTGGTACCTTTACAAAAGAGATTTATTTTTGCAATTGAAAATGGTATTACACCCCGCATTTCTAATTAAGTTGCACATTACATCCATAAATAGCTCCATTAGCTCCATGAATAAGTGTTTAGAGAAAACGTGGTACCTTGATGCCAAAAAGTGGTACCTTTAGTTCAATAACATGGTACCTTTGGAAAAAAAGTGGTACCTTTACAAAAGAGATTTATTTTTGCAATTGAAAATGGTATTACACCCCGCATTTCTAATTAAGTTGCACATTACATCCATAAATAGCTCCATTAGCGCCATGAATAAGTGTTTAGAGAAAACGTGGTACCTTGATGCCAAAAAGTGGTACCTTTAGTTCAATAACATGGTACCTTTGGAAAAAAAGTGGTACCTTTACAAAAGAGATTTATTTTTGCAATTGAAAATGGTATTGCACCCCACACCGCTAATTTTCTTGCACATTACATCCACAAATAGCTCCATTAGCGCCACGAATAAGTGTTTAGAGAAAACGTGGTACCTTGACGCCAAAAAGTGGTACCTTTAGTTCAATAACATGGTACCTTTGGAAAAAAAGTGGTACCTTTGCAAAAGAGATTTATTTTTGCAATTGAAAATGGTATTGCACCCCACACCGCTAATTTTCTTGCACATTACATCCACAAATAGCTCCATTAGCGCCATGAATAAGTGTTTAGAGAAAACGTGGTACCTTGACGCCAAAAAGTGGTACCTTCAGTTCAAAAATGTGGTACCTTTGGAAAAAAAGTGTTACCTTCGCAAAAGGGATTTATTTTTGCAATTGAAAATGGTATTATAACCCACACCGCTAATTAGGTTGCACATTACATCCATAAATAAATCCATTAGTGCCATAAAGAGTACAAACTTTATTCCAATCTATCTAACTTGAGGGAATGAGTAATACAAAATATAGTCCAACATCACTTAAAACATTACACATAAGCTAATTTTTTTTTTTTTCTATAAGATATCCTAAAAACAATTATTCTCTCCCTAATAGGTAAAGAAGCTGCTTTTAAGCCAGTTCCATTATGAAATAGTACTTTGCAAAAAGTTTTCCTTACCTGATTTGTGTCCATAGTTCTTCAAAGTTTTTCTCCCGGAACGGAGCTCTCAACGACTACAACTTCCACCAGCGTTCCTTAAGCAATTTGATAGAGTTTTACCTTCCAAGTCTATAATTAGGAGTTATGCAAGCAAATCGTAGCGGGTTGAAGTGAGAGAGGTTAATAACACAAAATATTTTTACAAGGGTTAGCATGAATTTATGGAAGACAATTCACTAGAGTTCGAAAATTTCCTACTATCTTATTATATATACTGAGGAGATTTCCTAGTATTTTCTTATATATGAAGGAAGAACATTTGATGGTTGAAGACAATGGCAAGCAGCAAAATCCTATACGTCGGAGGGGTCTCATGGCCTCACGAAATGTCGTGAGGAGTTAAAAATGGAATAGTTTCAAATATGAGGAGTTAAAAATGGAATAGCTTATAATGCTATAATGAATAGAAGCCAAATAATAGCAAAATAAATACAGGGTACATTTGTAAAAACACTTTTGAAACGTTTATTGAGGGAAAAATAAATACACACTTGAACACATTGAAAAATAAATACACACCAAATCTCGATGGAGGCGACGATGATTACATGCCAGGTTAGTTTTACAAAAAAAAATGAACCATCGATGTGAGGAATTATAAATGGAATAGTTTTGAGAACGATTGAGAATGTAAAACAACTACTTTCAATCCATGCATCTCTTAACGAGTACTTTCGTTCTATATACTTTCGATCCATAGATCAACAACTGAGATTTACTAGTGCTAATGTTATGGTTTTGTGCATATGCCATATGTCTATTTATAGAGCCCAATTCACAGACATGTGAATGAATTTTACCCATATCATGATTTGGCAAAAGGGACTTACACATCTCTCTCTTTGGCATGATAGGGGTGTCTTCATAATAGTTGTCGTGTTATACACCTAACACCACTATTTTAAACTTTACCCATGTGATGATAAGATGAGAAAGTGGATTGGTTTTGTGTATCTACAAGAGCTGATTTTTTCAGTGAGAGTCATATTCTGTGACTAGCCATGTGATTGAAAAAAAAGCCAAATAATTTGAAGTGGCCTTACACCATGGCAGATAAAGATGAATGGTCACATCATCAAGAAAAAGCCTTAGTGTCTGAAAAAGTTATAAATAGTGGCATTGTTGTCATGAGGCAGAGTATTGACATCCGTATTTGTAATTACAATTTACTAATCTAAAGTTTTTATTTTAACAAAACTATTATAATGTTAATTTATTTTTTAAATAGATTTCTAAGTGCACTTTGATTATGTAGTATCTTTATTTTTTCTCATATTTGATCAAAGCTATTAAAAAATCTATATGTCAGATGTTGCAGGAATGAGAGCATTTCCATTGCAAAGAAGATGCATAAGGATCCAATTGAAGTTATTCAAGCCATTACTAATGATCCAGACTTATAAGTTGCTTCAGAGTTGTCAGATTATTCAGATACAGGGGATGATGACTTTGTAATTCCACCTCCCCGTTATTGCTAAAAAAAACTTAGTAGTTGAGTTAAATTTTATGCAGTATGTATATGAAATGTATGTATTTTTTATTTATTTTATGCAGTATTTTGTATGAATTCCACCTCCCCGTTATTGCTCAAAAAAACTCAGTCCTTGAGATTTACTAGTGCTAATGTTATGGCATTGTGCATATGCCATATGTCTATTTACAATGCCCAATTCACAGACATGTGAATGAGTTTTACCCATGTGATGATTTGACAAAAGGGACTTACACCTCTCTCTCTCTCTTTGGCAGGAAGTGGGGTGTTTTGCATAATAGTTCATGCACCTACCACCACTATTTTTAACTTTAGCCATGTGATGATAAGATATGAAAGTGGGTTGCTTTTGTTTATCTACAAGAGCTGATTTATTCAGTAAGAGTCCCATTCTGTGTCTAGCCATGTGATTGAACAAAAAGCCAAATAATGTAAAACAGCCTTACACCATGGCAGATAAAGAGGTATGGTCATATCATCAAGAAAAAGCCTTAGTGTTTGAAAAAGTTATAAATAGTGCCATTGTTGTCATGAGGCAGACTATTGACATCCCTATTTGTAATTACAATTTACTAATCTAATGTCTTTATTTTAACAAAACTATTATAATGTCATTTATGAATCAAATAGATATCATCATCATTGACAAACAAAAAGTAGCGAAGAAACTACTACCAAAACGTACGAACAAAATAACATACATAAATAAACAAAACCAAGATAAGAGAGCCTAGTGCTAATTTGGGCAGTAGGCAACTTAATTCCGCCTACTCCTGATAAACAATACTGCTTTCCCATACAATTAATTTGGGTAATGGAGGTCTAAATCCCCGTGACCCGCCTAATTTAATTCCAAAGGTTTTGTATTTTCATGTAAATTTTGGTATACACCCAGAAAGACCAATTAATTATATTGGATTCTCAAGTACAAGTATAATTTAACTTGATTATCAGTGAACAAGATATGTAAGTAGTAATAGACTAAATAGTAAAGGGAACCAAGATCCAGTATAGGATATTTTCAGCAAGGGGTAAGAAAACAGGATCATAAAAGAACTGGACAAAGAAACTGCAACTATATTTCAAGATTAACCAGTTAAACATCACCTTTTGAGTCTTTAATTTCTTTAATAACCCTACTTTGGGATCACTCCTACACCAACACAGTTATTTTATTTTATTTTTTTTTAGTATTTTCTTCAGCAGTATCCTAAAGCCATCATCCATACCAAGACAGTTTTTGGTTTCTTTTAATTTTCTAATACAGTTTTCTAATACAGTGTGTGATTGTCATTGGATATCAAGAGAACCAACCCTTGAACTATGCCCGTCTTGCAAAGTCCTTAGCTGTTCAGAAAAACCATGAAAAATAGAGTACAGGATGGAGAGGTGGCACCAGAAAAATCAAATCTAATGCCTAGATCATGAGAAATGTGACAATTTGCAATAAATACATTTCATTTCACTCCAAATAAAGAATATAATACTCTTAGTTCTAATATTTGTTTTCTAAAATATAGGCCAACTATACAAGCCATAATCCTTCATAGTAGTTCACTTTATGCATTATATCAGTATAATAAAATCTTCAATGATACATGCCTCATTCAACCTTGCACTTCACCACTAAACTGGACTTTGTTCTCTTCCAAACTAAAAAAAACGTAAAAGAAACTACCAACTTTATCAGAACTTAAATGGGATATAAAAATGCATGTTGTGTTGCATTTAAACCCATGTTTTTCTTTAAGTTTTTCTTTTTCCACACAAAATGCAGTTAGAGAAACTGACAGAAGCCCAATTTCTTTTTCCACACAAAATGCAAGGATCCTCTTCCTGTAAGCTTCTTTGGCTGGAGAGCATGGTGTTGGGCTTTCTTTTCTTACCATCCCACCGTTGAGCATGTAATGTGCAAAATCAAAATCCATTGCAGATCGGTTGGGAATAAACCTATCCAGCTGCCATCCCAAAAGAACAAGATTAGTGTGAATTTCCAATAAAACCTATATATATATATATAAAAAGGCAAAATGACAGGAAAAAATCAGCCATAGAGTTTAAAACCCAGGAGCAAGATTAGTGTGAAGCCTATTGCGATGACAAAAGAAGGCAGGCAAAGATATTAAAAAAAAAATTAAATAAATAAAGAGAGTATATTTTGAAATGTAATATTTTCTTTATATGGAACACAAAAACAAAACCTGAAACTATCGTTACTGTCTTCTACAACTATTTTGGTTCCTTTCGAGTAAAAATTCTTTGTAATCCAAGACAATAGGACATATGATAATATTACATTATTATCTATTTTCCTCACTTAGAAACCTAACAACTGGAGAAATGAAAATGCTTACCGGTTCACCTTATAGCCTGTTGGCTTATGGTTTGAATTATAAACCCACTGGTCAAGGTTCGAGACTGGTATATATAGAGAGGAAGCTATATGAGAAGTCACAGATGTTAGATTGTGAATCTTTTGGTCATTCAACCCAATCTTGCTCTTCTAAGCCCACTACTAAGCATACACAAAAATGGAGAATGAAGGAGGACGGCTAGACCTAATTCGAATTAGTGGGAGGAAGTTATAAGGGGAAAAGGGAGAAGTGTTGTGGATCCCCCCAATGAGGAATTGTGAAAGGAAAGCCCAAAAATGGCTATACCTATTGCTTCATTATCAAATATATTTGAATTCACTTCTTCTATTTGATGTGTCTTTGATCACAATCTCATTGCACCTCTCTCAAGAGATTATGGGACCTATTGATTATTTAAACTTTATTGGGTCTATTTCTCTGAATAAAGAAAGAACTACGTAAATCCAAATTTATACAAATAGAAACAAAAACATATTGAGTGTGTTTTCCCTGAATCTTCATGTTGAATCCCATGGAAATCCAAACCATCCAAAAAATTATCTAATGATGTCAAAAATTATAGTCGTGCAGAATCTATACAAGTTGAACAAATAAACCCTAAATTCCTGAAAACTCATATTCGTAGACAATAAACCATCCAAATATGCTAAAGAAACCCTTACGTGAAAAAAAATCAAAATCCAAGAAATTAATGGGAACATCAACCACAAAAATCTAAAGATATTGCAAACAACACTAGATATCGTCTAAAAAAAAGAAACATTCAAATAGTAGACGAAGAAACCGTAGTTCACAGTAAATCCAAAAGTCCAACAAATTCACGAAGACAAACAAAAGAAAGAAAATCAAAAGGAATTCGATACAAAAGCTAAAAGAATTTAAACTTTTCTCGTTTTCTTGAATTCATTGCAACGAAACAGAAAGCCGAAAATATCAATTGGTTGGCGAACATACATAAACACACACAAGCAGATGGAAACACATACTTTTTCGCACAAATTTTGCCTTCGAAGTTTCTGATCGGAGAGAGGGAATCGCGACATTTTTGTGTCCAATTCCTGAATCCAAAATTGATGTTTTAGGAACAGCATATATATATATATATATAGGGATTAAAATTGTATAAAAATAGAGTAGAAATCCTAGCAAAACGATGAACAAGACTAGAGAGAGAGAGAGAGAGAGCAAGAGAGCGTTGATGAATGAGTTGGGTTTAAGAGAAAATTAGCAAAACCTCTACATATCAACATGTACGAAGAACGTGAGAACTTGCATTAACTCATTAAACAACATATCAACAACTTCTCCTCCACAACAATCAATCAAAACCTCCACATACGATGATCCCATACTCCCATGCTTTCAACATTTTAAAACAAGAAAAAAAAAAATGGGCTCCACATGGGCCGATGTAGCAATAAGGTAATAAAGTTCATGATACACCATAAAATTGGTCACTTAAAGGCATGTGACCCCCCCGAGTATGAGTATAAAAAGCATTACAAATGTGCAATCATAAAAGATTTTTATCGAACATAAAGACCATATAACTTACAAATTTGATGTACTTGATAGCCATGCAATCGACGCTCCCGTTGTTATCTCTTCCCAGCCCCTAGCGGGAAGACTACATTTGAAGTACATGCAAATCAATTAAACAAAATATAACACCAAAATATTGTACAAGTGGAGATGGTTAAATGAAAAAACTCAAAAATAAGGGACATATGAGCAAACAACTTTTTTATTAGGCGCTAGTAACCAAAAGCAAGACTCTAAACAAAATAAATAAATAAATGGGGTAACAGTAGTCAACTAAGATTATAGCAAAATCCTTTTTATTATTGTTTATTTATTTTTTTATTCTATCAAACATGATTGGACAATTTGGACAACAAAAAATCAGAAGGAAGCCCAAAAATCTATTTGAAACAATTTTTCCCAGAAATACATACTTCACTTTGAAAAATCAATAAAAAAGAAATTCTCAAACAATTTGCATGAAACCAAGTCCATTGGAAGCTTAAACACACAATTTTTCTTCTATCAATTTAAATCAATAAATTTTCTTACCGATTAAATAAGGTTTGAAGGAAGAGATAGGAAGAATTCTGCTTACAAAACAAGGATCACAGCATGTTAAGATTAACTTCAAAAATCCATACTAATTTCAAAATCCAATCAATTTGAGCCAAAACAAAAACCTGTAAACTCATTAATAATAACTGATATCACATAATTTGAAGTGATTATTGTCAATTATGCTCGTGAGTTTGAAACGTATTCGTTCACGTGATCTTTTGGACATTTAATAGAGAAACAAACAAGTCTTTTTCTTTGTCATTGTATAAAAAAGAACAAGTGATAAATACCAAAAAGTGCCATACATACCTCATCGGTTCGCAACACAACAAATTGGTCTCTGCTGGTTATATGTGACAACACCTCACTTCAGGGACGGATATAAGTCCAAAATCCTTAATAAAGTAGTCCCCAAAGGCTCTAGACATTGCCAATCTGGGGCATTCCTCATTCGGCAGCCAAATTTTATGCACCACAGGCTTGTCGTTTAAACTGAACACTCTTCCTTTGTACTGATTTATCCATTCAACCTCATCTGTCAAACAATGTTGATAATGTAAACACAATGTTCATATAATTTTTGAGACACAAAGAAAGTGAGGAAGAGAGAGACTCACGAGGTAAATTGTGGTTGAAATAACAGTCATAATGCAGTAGGGGAGCTCCAACGAATTAATAGTGAGGAAACAAGTCATAATGACTTTAATATGATGTTATTTTCCTAGCCTTCCGTAAGCATGTAACATGTAAGCCCGTCCATTGTCACATAATCCCATAACCTCCTTGCTTTCACGACCCTCCAGCTGCCAGAAAACTCACACACCTATGATTTTTAAATAACACTCCACATGAGACTCATACGAGGACCCAGGAAAATAATTTCAATACCAAAATAAACCACCAGACGAATAATACAGATTCAACTTAGAATAAGTTACATCATACTTAGAAATGTTTTCTAAATAAGTTAGAAATACTATCACAACATAGTTATACTAATGCAGTAGGGGAGCTCCAAGGAATTAATAGTAATTACAAAATAATTCCATATTTAAGGCCTTAACACCTTACAAAATAACTCCACTAGAATTAGCAATTATATAACTATTCTATCCAGGTATAGGAGCCTTGCACTTTCGACGATTATGACCATTCTCGCCGCATCGCGAACAGTGTAACGACCTTACATTTTGAAATTGTGATTCGATTCGTTTAATACGAGGTCGTCCAGGGGGACGTGTTACCGCAGGAGGCCTAAGATGGGAAGCACCTTCACCGTCAGCTGCAGCAACAGCAGCTGCATTCGGCATATCATGCATGGGGACAGAAGACATGAGATGTTCACATAGTTTTTGTTGTGTTTCAACCCTAAACCATGGATCAACCATCTCATAAATATTTAAAGATAATTCATGGATGGCATAGCATGCATGCGAACAAGGAATCCCACTCATGGTCCACTTCAAACAACTACAAGAATTTTCACTGCCAAATACCACCCTGAATGGTTTTCTGTCTCGATCATATATTGTACACTCAGTAGGCGAAACACGCATCGACTGAAAACCAAGAGCTAACTCTTGCTCTTTTTTTATTTTCTCCTCAATACGATCCCCAACCGGGATAGTCCACTTCTGAACGTCCAAACTCTTTTGGTATAAAAATTTGCTGAGTCTTTGCATGTGTGTATCCATCAACCTTGTGATTGAAAAAACCCTCTCTTCTTTCACCCATGCATTGAAGGACTCTGCTTGATTGGTGTATAATTTATCCCAACGCTTGGAAGTAAACATAGCATTTGACCAATGTTCAGGTGAATTCGCCAAAACCCAATCGCATAACTCCCCTCGAAATACCCGCATGGCAGCCAATGCATTCTTATACTCATCTACAGTTCGAGCATATGCAATTTTATCGAGTAATTTTTTCGCATGCTCTTTACCCGAAGCCCTCAATCCTAAACTTTGTCTCCCAAGAATGGATGTAGAAAAATTCGCCGTTAGGTGACGAAGACACCATGAGTGGTACTGGGAGCCAAAAATATCTCTAATACAACTTATTAGGCTCGGATGCCTGTCGGTTAAGATTGTCACAATGCGACCATCTAGAATCTCTTTCACCTTGCTCAAGAACCAATGCCAATCATCATCATTCTCAGAAGAAACAACAGCATACGCCAAAGGCCACAAGCCGTCATTCGCATCGAACCCCGTTGCACCAAGCATTGTTCCTTTATAATTGCCACTCAAGTGGCAAGCATCGATTGCTAACATGGGCCTGCAATAGTTGATGAAACCTCGTATGGAGCACCCATAAGCTACAAACACTCGCTTAAATCTCCTATCATCCGTGCACTCCCACGATGTAATTGTCCCAGGAATATATTCTGCTATTCGTTCACACAACCACGGGACTAAAATATAGCTATCCTTGGGATTTCCCTCAATGATATGACGTGCACACTCCTTAGCTCTCCACGATTGCATGTAAGTCATTTTAGCAGAAAATTCACCGTTTATGTCTGTGGAAATAGTCTTGGGGGTGCATTTAGGATTGTCCCTAACCTTGTTCACAATAGCTCGACCCATTTCCTTCGACCAAAAAATGGCTTTATAATCTGAAATGTCTTGAGCAGTGTGAGTGTGAACATTATTAAACCGCTTGATTCTCACTATATCACCACTTCCTTCACAACCAGCTGATAATTTCCATGGACAATTATTAACCTCGCACACAACTCTATAATATTTTCTGCTATTGTCCAAGTACTTGAACCGAAAATGATTACGAAGACCAAACAAAACGAGTGCATCTTTGAAATCATTTGGGCTGTCAAAAAGCTGATCCATGCAAAGAATGTCATCAATGTGTCGGAAAGAATCCCGATGCGCATTTATCGGAGGAAATGAAGACGTTGACGCAACACTTTGTAGAAGACCAATTGGCGATGTGGCTTCAACAAATTGTCTACAAGTGGATAAAAAGGTATATTAAAAATCACATAACCTATGCAGCGCATACATCAATGTATTACTTTAAATATATGTGTCTTACCTCTCACTATGATCAGTAGGAATTGTGCATGATGCAATTACAGGCTCTGCATCTTCCATATACACATTTAGCATGGGACCACTCACTAGAAGCATCACTCTAAATCCAGATTCTCCCGTCATCCTCAAAAGTTCATTCTTGTTAGATTCGGTGGTATAATATATGACTTTACCACTCATGTTTGAAGATGAACGTTGTTGTAACTCATTTATAAATGATTCGTATGTTGTTGTTGTTGTTATCATAAAAGGGTCTGTGACACCGCCGATGTATATAATTTCCCCATTCTCATTTTTGTCAATTTTCCCATCAAATCGACAATAGCATATAATTTGTCTCTCATCCATTTGTCCAACTGCTTCGAAAATTGACTCATTAGTTTAAAAAAAAAAACTAAATATGAAGTTCAAAAAAAAATGAAATATAAAACAATTAAATATCATAATTATATAATGTAATTTAGAGATCTATTTACACCGAAACACTACTAATTCCCTCAATAGGGATAGGCGGTGTCAAGATTAAACTTTTCCTAAACACACACTACAGACCTTTTTCAAATCAAAATACAACCACAAAATCAATGCCATTGATTACTAGATAATTGTATCACTATGTGTACAACAAACATATATACAAGATGAGGGAGATTATGAGATGAATAGAGAGTTAAATGGGACAATATAGATTGAAAATAAAAAATTGAGAGTTAAATAGAGAGAGAGCAGAGTGTTGAATATTTTTCACACACAAATATTATATGTGTAAGTCTTGAAAATGGGGGAGACAAGTACAAGGGAATGTTGGAATAATAAATTAATACTAAATACATTTTTTTTATAAATTAATGCTAAATACATATATTAAAAAAGCCTCATTCATAGAGTTTGCTAGCTTTTGCATCAATTCTATCATGTGCGTAGATGCCTAAAGACATATTACACAGAGGTATACTCTACATGCCATTTGAGAAAGAGGCAACAATCTTGAATAATTCTTGATCTAAATTGAGTTATAATAATTAATTATACATAAAAACTAATTGGACTACCTATGTGTTGGTGGCTTTGAATTTTAACTCCTAAATTCCTACGTTCTGCTGAGGATTTAGTCTGCAGTCATCAAAGAGCCTTGAATATATAGCTTGAATACAGATATAGCTGATTTAGTCTGACTCTTTTTGTAGGAAGATACAGATATAGCTGATTTTACATAGATATTATTTTCTAACGGAGTGAATTGATACTACTCATAGCTATCGACCAATATTGTGGTGTGTATTGGTTATAACTGACAATGTGAATTTAAAATTTCAAATGGATATAACCATGGTCAGTATTAATGGTTTTAACTAAATTTTGATATTTCCATTAAAATGGTATCTCTCTTTGATTTTGGATCATGTGTGTGGTTATTAAATTATGTGTTGATTTGTAAGGTTGCTTTCAGATTTGGACAAAAATAAAATGAAAGTCTTGATAGTTTGTTGATGTAATGAGCTTAAAAATTTAAAATTATATGCTTTGAATATATATCTATATCAGTCCATGGCAACTACTGCTTAATGATAAATAAGCCGTGAAACTACTTTGATCATATGGAGCTTATTAGTTGCATCATGATTACTACTAGTTTTGTGTATGTGTTCCATTATGTACTAGTTAATGTGTGGTATTTAGGCTTATGGCCAGTGTGTGTGTGTTAAAATCATGTATAAACATACATATATATGACAAAGTCGTGTTATGTTTAAATATTTCAGCCTAACTCTTGTAAAAATTAGAACAAATTCATGTTGGTTTGGATGACTCCTAAAGGTTTTTTGTTTGGAAGGTTAAACAAGTATTATTATACCATTTCTCTCATTCCTTCTCTTTCTCCTTCCAAATCGAGGTACGTTAGGGTTTTCTCTCCCCTAATGGCACACGTGTTCTATGGACCTGTATTAGAGTATAGTTCACACTATGATTCTTAAGATTGATGTGCTTATTGACGGTCCAGTGCTGTTTCAATCTCCTCCTAACAGCACTTAACATAATCATAAACTAGATTTAGCTCAGCCATTTTGTCTTGAAGTTTTTCCTCAATCTCATTGGGAAGCTATTCATGTAGTGGCTGAAATATGTTTGTTTTTTTATGATCCAAACACACTCAAACAAACAAGAACAGTGACCAATAGCTAGCCGCAGAAGTTACAATAGGTGTAGCTAGCCTATGACAAGTGTGTTTGTGTTAAAATCTAGGTCATACAATTCTTTTTAACAGGTGTAAATCTAGCTCCCATTCTCACGATTTGTTTGTAATTTAATTTTGTTGCTTTTGCGCTCTATCTACCACTTTATGCGACTTAGTATAAAACCAAATATAAATATTAACTTACTGAATTTTTCTGTTACTATCAAATACCATTAAAGCAAAATTACAAAATTAGACCCTCCCTCACAAGAAACAA